TCAATGTTCCACCTAAAGATTATAGAATCAAAGTTATGAATACAAATTTTGAAAAATATGAATATATGTCAATAAATTGACAAAAAAAAAATGATCAACTTTAAAGGTAAAAATTTAACCTTTCAATACACTTGGTCAAGAGCTCAAGCTCTTTATTGGTCCCATAGTTGTCATATGTATCATCCAAAATGGATGCAATGGCTATTACTTTAGTTAGAAATGTCCTTGCAAGGGAGTATTTGGGTTCAAAGTAAACTCCCATTATCCAAAAATAGCACTCCACAACTCTGTCCCTTGCATATGGTAGCTTTGTTGAAAAATCCAAGTTTTTCCACCACCTAAAAACCAAGCCAAATTCAAAGTCTTAGATAATAAATCAGCATTATTAGAAGTTTTTTAAAGAAGGAAAAAAAAATCGAACTTACTCTGTAATTCCACTGATTTCTTTTTGATGTAGTGCTTGTACCATGTTGAAATCTATCTTTGCAAATCTAAGTAGTGCTGCATTAGAGGAAGCAAAATGTGTTTCTCTAGAGTACAGAGAGATGTAATGCCTTGCTTCAATTCTTGGTAAGCCTTTTCGAATGGGGCGGTTTAAGGCATGAGCTATTTGTTCAGCAAGTAGAAGGCTTACTTTTGTTGCCATTGATTCAAGGTGAGAGGTAGTGAAAGCTAGAGCTTCATCTAGGATATGTTCTCCATGAAGATGAAGATGTGCAGCCTCATATAGATTCAACATTCCAAGCACATCATTTACTACATCTTCCTTGAATTTTCCCTTCTCATCCATGAATTTCTTGAATATCTCTACATTAATAAATAACAAGAACAGCAATAGTGCAACTACTAAAAATTAACCTCGATCATAATTCATAAACACAACTTGCTATTAGACCTTAAAATTGTTTTTGGAAGTTAAGAAAAAATGACTAACCGGATGAAACTTTGATTCCTTGTTGTCTAAGCAATCGAAACCCGAGAGCAATCGTATAAATGTCAGATTCAAAATAATTAGCATCACCAAGATTTATCTTCTCTAAGGCATTTTCAATTTCTATCTCAAAATGGTAAGCAATGCCTAGGTGTTGAACCATATCAATTAAATGCAATTTCTTTGAAGGATCATTGGTGGTAGCATCAGTTAGCATTCTCCTTACTTGTTGCTTCAGTTCATCATATTCTCCTTGTGTTGTGGGTTCATTTTTCTGAAAAATCATTCCAAAACAAAACATTAAATGTGTACTAGTAATCAATTTTGTGCTACAACCTAAAGATTAATTCCTCCAAGAAACAATAGTGATTAGGGTAACTATATTGGTGGCCTAATAATTCATATATTAGGACCAAGATGTTTCATTAGATAGGAAAAAAATAGGTACACATTCGGTTCAATACACTTCTAACACCTATCTTGATTAGTTATTAAAATATAATAAAAGTACAATTAATTCAACTAATTCTTGTATCCAATATGCATGGTTACATCTTTAAAATTATCTATTTTTAATTTTAAATCAAAAAATAATGATTTTTTAATAAATGTATTGTACAATATATTAAACAAAAATATGTATCAATCAGTATCTTATTCGATAATAAACATGAACAATTAGAGGCATAACATAGACACTCAACTTTTGAAGCTAAATTAGGTGGGGTACAATGAAAACTCAAAATACAAAACTTAATTATGAAGTAATAATCGAATATAGAAAGTAACTAGAGGAAAATGAAATACCATGGAATTTGAAGAATGTTGGAGGAAATAATCCTTCCATAGACTAGGGTGATAACTAGATGTGGGTCGACTGATAGTTTTGCTGGTTGTATTTGGAGGTGGAGAGGGAAGGGCCAAGGGTTGAGTTGACATTGTTCTACTGTATATGAGAAGGGGTATACTTGAAGGCTTTTGTTTTGTGCTGCAAAGAGCTCGAGGGCTTTGGTATTTATAGGGATTTAGTATGTTGTCCACATATGGGGTGTCTTTTCATTCTTATTTTTATAACTTTTTTATTAAGATAGCACAAAATTCAATTAAATCCAAGTATACTGCATGTATATATATAAGTTTTATATATCATCTTTATATAAAATTTTAATTATCTATATATTTATTTTTAATGATTAAAATTTATCTCATAATAAATTTTAATTATTAAAAATAAAAAAATAAATTATTAAAATTTTCTGTAAATATGATATATAAAATTTA